CTGTACACAGTACTAAAATGCGGCAGACGGTGGTATCTCAGAATAGCCAGATGCCAGAATAGCTAATAAGTATTTAATATTTACTATATTTGGAATAATCATGGGCATAAATTAAAAATTTACAGAGAAGGAATTTTTATATTTTATTATTTATTTGAAAAATCCAAATTATTAAAATTCTCAGGTGGTGCATTTGCACCACTTGGCCCCCCCCCCCTCCGGGCGTGCCTGCGGCTAACTATATGTATTATTATGTACCCATACCTACTCACCTATTATTGATATATCTATATATAACTAAGTAGATCGATATTCGATCGACAGTATAATGCATAATAATATAATATAATATTTTAAGATTTGTACGTGTTGATATAAATATGTTAATACTGTAAGTTGTTAGGTACCTATACCTGACTATAAAATATAAAATTGATGTTTTTGATACTTGGCGATACTTCGCAGAATTATTATTTATTAATAAATTTAGTAGCAAATCGATTTATATCGCCACGAGTCGCAATTGTTTGTAAATTACTATAATTACTAATGATTGAAGTTCAAACAATTTAAGGGTTGTGTTATGGCAATAAAACTCTTATTTTTGAACGAAAATTTCAATTTTTTACTCTAAATTGTAAGCAGATATTTATTTTTTTGTAAATCGTTTGCATCAAATATTACAATATAGATATTTGGTACCTATAGTCTGCAGGGCTGGGCAAGATACCTCAAACAAAGTATCTAAATACAAGATTCAGGTATCTGAGATAGGTACGTATAATATATACTTTATACATTTATTTATATATATTTATTAATTTACCACGGAAATAATTTTATCACGTTAAATTTTATTGAGCGCTAGCTGATCCCGTGCATTTTGTTGCTCGTTAAAAATGCCAACTCTATATGAGATTCGATTGTAATAATGCAAGCAGTTCATTATCAGGTATGCAATCTACCTCCGGTGTATTGACCCCGCTATGGGTGCATACTCTATATGAATAATATGTTTTATTTTTATTGCGGACACGCAATATTAGTGACACATTATTAATATTTGATATTATTATTATTTTTCTCATTACCAATAGCGACCATTTATAAACAAAAATTTCCATCATAAATCTCAAAATCCCTGTATGAGCACCTCCCAGGGTTGGACCTCTCCATTTTTAAACTGGCTTATCTTCTTCCAGGGGTCTAATCTATCTCTGTACCAAATTTAATCGCACACGGTCCAACGGATTAGGAATGCGTAAAGGATAGACAGACGGATATTCATTTATATATTATATTATTATACATAAATTATTTATATTACCATAATATTGTAACTTATAATACCTAATATGGTAACTTATAATACCTAATATGGTATTATTTATCATTAACAATATAATTTTAAACGACATTGGATACGCTTAAGTACTATACAAATAAACAAATCTTTTTTTATTTAAAAATGATAAGATTTACATTTTACAGTCTATAAAAAGATTACGTACACAATAAGCAAGTACCTATTATGATAAAAAAATATTTTTATAAATTGGCAATGTTTATTTATTAATTAATTAAATGTTTGAATTAAGGTGATTTCAATATTTATATTCAATGTTTTAAAGTATATTTCTGGTTAAATTTAAAAAAAACTAATTTTTTGAACAATAACTTAATTGACAAATAGGGAAACTGTTGTTGTTATGTAAATGGAACATAATTTTTTAATTTATCTAGTATCTTAATCGACTTAATCGTAAGAAGATACGAGGTACAAGTCAAATTAGTATTTAAATACACGATACAATAATACAATATACATTCAAATTATGTATCTCGACACAAGATTCATATTGTATCTCATAAATGTATCTTAAATATTAGTATCTAAGATACTGCCCAATCCTGTTGGCATACAGTAATGTTTAGTCTAGTCTCTGGTATACTTATTAATTATTAGTAAATAGTAATATACCTACTCAGATAGTCTAATAATTTTTACAAATTATAAAATGCTAGTATGTTTTTATTAATAACTAATAAGTATTTTTACTTATTAGTACTATATTATTTTAAAATCAGAGATTGTTGCAACTAGTCAACCAAAAAGTTAATAGTTTATTTGAGCAACCACTTATCGATTCTACCGTCTTAGGAGTCTGAAATTATTTTTACCTATATGTGACCGTCGTGAACACTATAAGAACTTCGATGCACATGTGATTGTGAGGCTATGTATATTGTACTTGAATTTATTTTGACAATAGGAATTGAAACTGTACATTACTGTAATGTATAAATTAGTTTTACTATAAAACTATTCATAATTATTAGCCCAAACCAACCACATTTTGATTTTTGGAATTCACTCAAACGGTCTACGCTCTCTTGTACAGTCGGGTAAAAATGTTTAATGTACATTTTCAGAAAACTGACACTGAACTATTAGATAATTTATGTACATATAATTACATAAACATACAACTAACTATTTAAGGATGTACACAATATAGCAAAACACTTATTAACACTAACGGAATGTCAACGATAGAAACAGGATCGACGAAACCTCAACATGACACAAATTTTCGACGTTATATATAGGGCCTGATTCTGACCCTGAACAGAACAAGAAAATTCTAAACTTTTTAAAACCAACCACTCATATAATCTAAGGATAATTACCCATAATATAACATTTTGTAAATACTTTCATTAAGTTTAACTAAAAATTAAGTAACTTAAAAGTTAAAAGGTCTATAAATTCCTTTTCTGGAGTTTCTACAAATAATTTAAAGGGGCAGAAATTCGGATTTGTAGGTAGAGTTTGGAGATTCTCGAAGGGAACTCTGTATTAACTCTCTAGAATTTCTTGTGTTACTTATTAGGGCTGTTACAAATGGACCACCAAAAATATATTACTTTAATACTGAGTTTTTCCATTTCACTGTTAGTTACTGTGTCGATCTAGATTAACTTGTTAAATAAAAAAATGTTTTCTGGACCTCGTCATTTCTTTTTAAAGTATCCGCAATTCTGGTTTACTCATTGAAACTAATTTCTGACCCCTGCGCAGCAGCCCTGCTATTAAGTGTTAACCATATATAGGTACAATCATTTATTATAATCAATGGTACCTACAGTGTAAACAAGTCATGACGCATTATATATTACCAGTTAGTTGTTAGGCTACAACCATAGGCGCAATTTCAATTTTTGACTTAGAAGGCTATTCGTGCATATATATTATCAAAAAGACACGTGGGGGGGGGGCTCTGTCCCTCACACCACCCAAACAAACATTTCCTATACAATATACAACAAGATATATACTATATACACTATCCACAAGTCACTACTGAAAAATACATTCATCTAACATGCATATCTTATAATTGCTAGGTGGATAATAAGATAATTAAAAAAATAAGTAAGTGGGTGACGCTTTGCTGTACAATAAACCTATTGTAACCACAGGTGGGTCAGTGTAATGGATGGTGTTAACTTAAAATAACTATACAAAAAAACTGTGTTTATATATTTTTTAGATTTTTTAGTTACAGAATGAACTACTTACGTGGACCTTTGTTTTAAATTTTAAATCCTTAGCTATAAAAGTGGAACGTTTGAATATTTTTAACTACTATATAATTTGTAAATATTCAATTTAATAAATTTTGTCAACATTAGAACTTTAAACATTTATAAAAAAATGGTGCCTATGTATTTTTAATATTTTTCAACTGCAATTGTAACAATATATCCGGACCATTTTATTAAATTATAAAGCTTTTTGAACCAACGAATAACATTTTATTAATAGTTCTGGAAAAAAAACCAAAAAAATTAAAAATTAAAAATGTTCATAAACAGCTCAAATTGAGTTAATATCATTTGGAAAGTATAGAAAATGATAAAGTAATCATATAATGGAAATTTCAAGTAACTACGGTTGTTCGTTTTAGAATTACAACAAAATAAAAAAAATCACTCCATAATTAAGCAAGTGAATATCAATTTTGTAAAAATTTGAACTTCAAACGTTAATAAATATTTAATTTGACTTTCCGGTGGACATTATTTTTTTGATGAAAATTAAAAGTAGACAAACTTATGAGAAATTTCGTATCAAATTTTAAAATCTTAGATATTATAAAAAGAACAACTTTTTATGAATTTCTACCACAAAATAATTTACAATTTTTCGTGATTCTTATGAATTGTGTCAAAATTTAAGCTAAATAAAGTTTTTTAAATACAAACCACTTTTTGTGGGAGGGGGGTATCGGGGGGTTGGGTTGGGTAGGGGAGGTATACGGTTGGTATCGGGGGGCTTAGCCTCCAAGCCCCCTCACAAATTGCGCTTATGCCTTTACCTACTACAGTACTACTGGTTATTACTTGCATTAGGTACCAAACTACCTACTTCGTTCCGTCATTTTATACATTTTTACGACATACATAATAGAACTCTATTAAAATCCTCTACTGCCAGCTTATTTAACCTATATTAAAATATGGCTCCGTACTTTGGGATATTCGTAGGTATACCTTTTTTAACTGAGAGTGTCCTGAGAATGTTTTTCCCAGGTGCTTTCTATATTCTCAATATCCCATGACTATACACCAATGGATAAAGTGCTGAGTTTATCTAGGCTAATCGTCAGTAACTCTAAGAACTTTTTTCAAATTTTATTGACTCTCCTTCTCTACTTGGCGAAACTAGCTTCCTGTGCTGGCAGGAGGATGACGAGTGTAATTATTTATAATCAGATAATCGAGACGCAGTTAGTAAAGTCGAGCAGAAAAACATGTACGCAATTTTTATACCTGGTAAGCAATAGGTACGTATGCAGCCAACTAACCATACTTCATGTTTTCATCTAGCCATTATTCTGGGTTTATTGTTATTTTATTTTATTCTAATTATTTATAGTGGGTACCTAATATGTTTGTTATTTTAAATTTTTTTTTATTGTTTAACGGTTTAATCACTGTTATTTACATTCCATAAGGCATAATTGTGCATTTGCCCGTAACAATGTTATATAAGTAAATAATAATAAATATTATTACTATATTAAAATGTATAATTCATGAAATATATATAAAAAAAACAACCTTACCTGATATATGTGTAACCTGCAGCATAAAAGAAAGTATTATTACTGTCAATCGTTTCATTGTTATATTGTTCACTCTATAGAGTACCTATAATAGGTCAGGTGAGTAGGTATATCTTACAGGTTTTGGTATCATGTAACAAATACTAGCAAGAACAAAATAAACTTTAATTTATATAATAAACAAGCTAGATAATTATTCGGAGAAATAATTAAAAAAACAATAGCAGCATATTATACTCATTATACCTGTAACGTGTATACTGATATTCCTAGTGCCTACAATAACCTATATAGTAATAACTTATTAATTTGATAAATATCTTTAGACTCAAGTAGTAGATACGCATATAAGAGACCCAACAACATCTATAAATGTCATACCCATCCACCTAATATAATATAATTTAATAAAATATTATAATATAACAAAATACTTAAGTGTATAACAATCTAAAAAAGTGAATAGATAAGTAGATACCATTGTAATATAATATTTATTAATGGAGCAATAATACAATTTTTTTCTCATTGTTATTATTTATTTATTTTAAGTTAAGACATTATAGATTATGGCAAAGTCGGAAGTGCTTTGCCTTCAACGGAAAACATATTCATACACTGTACATCACGTCGTGCAATAATTTTTTAGGTTGTGTAAAAAAAGATACCCATTATTAGAATAAAATTTAAAACAATATAGCAAAAATCCAATAAAAAAAATAAACCTTTAATTTTAAGATATCCGAGATTGAGAATTTGATATAATCTTAATAATATGTATGAACATTAGTTATAATTAGCAATGCTGGAACAAATTCCTTTTTATAAAAAAGAACGAGAAAAAGAAACGAGTTCTTTCCAATTTTTCGTTCCTTCGAGTTTCAATTTACACAGATATGTGAATAATTTTAATTAAAATATTGTTTTTCTTAATGTGTATATTGCCAATTGGAGGTCATTATCGAGTGTCAAAGTTAATCGTATAATATAATATTAATTTATACTGTTAAAAAAAAAATATTTAATAGTCATATTCTTAAATTAACTAGTAAATTATAAATGTACTTGTAAGTTGCAGGTATGTATAAGTATAAATAAACAGTTAAGTACCTAAGTGGCTAAGTATAAATATGAAAAAAACATTGATGGTTAAAACATAAGAATTTTTATTTTATTTGGAACTAAAAAAGGAACTCATTAATTTTCCAAAGGAACAACAAAGGAATTTTTTTTTAAGGAACAAGGAATTGAACGAATTCCTTTTTATAAGGAACTTTCCAAACACTGTACCTAATACATGTTATTACTAATTATTGATAATACAAAATACATTAATAATTAAATTATAGTTTTTATTTTTTTTGGAAGATATTCAATATTAATAACAATAATAACACATTATAATAATCACGCAATTAACCATAAAACATATTTTTATTTAGATTTCTTACTTTAGTATTACCATTAGCCATTAGGTAAAATCATAATGTATGATTTATATCAATCAACACTAAATTATGTATAATATGTATATACAGGATGATTTTTTAAACATGCTAATCCCCATTTTTTCTTAAATAACACTTTTATTCAAATTCTGATTTTTAGAATTTTTAAGTGGGTATATTATTATAGTAAAATATTATATGTATTATTCATTATACTTTCATAATTTTTACAAATTATTGGTATTGATGGATTAAAAGTAATTACTAACATTTTAAAATTATCTAAGCCTTTAACCATTACCATATACATATTATCATTAGTACACAAAGTTATATATCTCAAAAACTACTAGTTTGTATTTTGATTTAAATACATCAAAATTCTTAAAAATAATTTGCTAAATAATTAAAAATTAAAAGGGGCAGGGTGTTTATACTTGGAAAACAGAAGTTTGTATAGTCACAGGATCACCTTTAAATGGTAGAAAAAATATCAAGTATTCAAAAATATGGTGTTCAAGTGTACTTCAAAATTCTAAAAATCAAAATTTGAATATATGTATTATTTAAGCATAAAAATAGGGTGAGCATGCTTAAGAGATCACTCTGTGTATATAAACTCTCATTTAAATATTTATATTAACATATAGCATATAGTCATAGGCGAGCATTAGACTCAGAGACTCTTAGTTGTGGGGTACACTGTGCATATTAAAAATGAAGACTCACAACAATTTTGAAAGCTATTAGTTAATAATTATCGTATTATTATATAGGCAATCTTTATCAATTTTTATAGTGAATTAATAATAACAATAATATTGTTTCTTGTATAACGTATGAGAAATAAAACTCTTTATAAAATTTAAAACTAATTTTAAAACATAATAATATCACAGAAAAAAATATAAATTATTATTAGAACCGATGTTCAAAACCTTTGGCCATGCCAGTCCATCTATTAGGTACTGATAAAAAGTACAAATTCATTGCAGCAATAAATCGATTCTTGTATTCTTCTGGAGAAATTATTGTAGGTAATTTACCTTGACCACCAAGGAGTCCTGATTTCTTTACCATTGTTTCTATTTTCTTGTCCCATGTAAAAGTACGAATGTAATCTGTAAAAACGGAATTTATCAGTAATGAACTAAAATTGTTTAAAAAGTTTTTATTAAAGGTATTAAAAAAAAGGAATAAATAATAAAATTTCTATTGATTGTAAAATAATCATGAAATTTATTCAAAACTGTATATATGTACTAAGTCTGGTGTGTGTAGAATTTAGTTATTGGTATGCCACTATGCCATCATTGTTTGGAGATAGCTCTGACCTTAATTAATAAAATTATAAATTACCAATGATTCCTAATACTAATTCACCAGAATCTTCATCCAAGCCAACTAATAGGGAGTAGTCCATGACAAGTTGTGAGGTGAGAAACTCTGCATCGTCATTGATTGCTTGATTTAAAATTATTTTAGAATGAGGGTGAACATATAATGGTGATTCACATGACACTAAAGTAAGAACCATAGTTATTTTAGATTATATGTTTACAGTTATCATTTAAGAAAAGAAAAAGATTTTTTTGGTGAAACTTACTTTTAATAAGATTTTCATCCAACAATACAATCTCTCCATCTTGTGAATTTGGATCCACTAATCTATTTCTAACGGATCCTTTTAGATCAAATATATGAGAAATATTTTTATTGTAAAAAAGATTCTCCATTACTAATAAGTTTGAATTGAATGATGACCCTTTGACAGTGTTGCGATACCTTACTTTATAAACTCCAACAATCTTACATAAAAGAGTGGGTCGTCTATTTGTCTGACGTGAGTGTATATATGCAAAATATTGAGGTGCAAATTCTAAAAATGGTAATATCTCCAAACGAGACATTTCCTTCAATACAAACCTGTCATCTAATAAAAGAAAATATTAATGAATATTATACAATGCATAGAGATCTCAATAACATACATAAAATAATAATAAAAACATAATATTATAAATAAATTACCTTTTGTCTTACAAAAGTTTGACCCTGATTTCCCACCTCTAGCCGACCATGAAATACATCTTGCTAAAGAACGTATGTACATTTCTTCTCCCGATACAAAAAAAGTTTCTCTTAATTTTGCAAATTGTTTAGCAAAATAAACTTTCACATTGAAATTGGTTGTAGAATCTGAGAAGGTTATCTGTACAAAAGAAAATGGTTGGTACATCAAAATAAAATAAGAAAATGATTGTTTAGATTTGAAAAATAACATCATAATATGTATTGTAATAATGTATTTATTTGTAAAATGTAGTACATACCTCAATGTGTTGTTTCGATTTTTCATCTGTCTCTTTTTGATCGTTATCTTGTTCAACATGTTCAACGGTTGACCTATTTAAATTTTAAATTTATAAGGGCAATTCAATACATAACATACATATACTTAGGGTCATTTAAATTTGTGCAATAAAACTAGAATCACACTAAGATCCTAATCACTATTGTTAATACAAAATTTGGATCACCATATTAGTATTGATATTAAATTATTTAGGCTTACATTAATTCTGTATTTGATATGTTGTTTTGATAAAAAGATGTGCTCAATGTGAACGCAATAATGGAACTGGGTTCTTTTTCATAAATTGATATAGGAGTTCGGCAGTGTATGTTCAAAACATGGTGTTCTGTAGTTTCAATTGGATTCTATAAGTTAATGATATTGTACATTATATTATAGTCATTGCACTTAAGTATAAAATACATACAGGAATGATTGCAGGTGGTGTAGATGATGGTAAAAATTGTGATAAAATTGTTTTAACACTTTTTTTATCGGTTTGAGACATAGATAATTGAGACTTAGGTTCATTAGGTACATTACTGTCAACTGAAAAAAGATAATGAAAAAATATAAATAAATAATTTTACTGTTAATGATTGTTGTAATAATATCTACTGACAATCATCAACAGCATCACTGTCACTGTCTGTTGTAATATCACTCTGTGCTTGTGGTACAGATAAATAACATTTTTCACTCGAGCACAATATGTCGGAATCGTTTAGATTTTCAAAATCATGTTCAGCAGCTATTTCCGATTCAGATACTAATGAATGTTGGCTCGGATGACTTGTAATGTTATGTTCTTCAACAACATAACGACTTGAGTCACATTCAAAATTCATGATTTCTTCTAAGACTTCAGACAAATTATTTGATTTGGTTTCACTTTTCCTTTGAGATTTATCTTCTTTTTTAATAGCTGCTTCTATTTTTATTAACTTAGAATTCCAGTTGATTGTGGCTTCACTTACTGCCCTCCTCAACAAAGTCATTGTATCATCCAATTTCCATATTGTGTTTAATATTGTCCCTAATAATAAACATTATAGGCAATAAACATATAAAGAATACTATACTCTATTCAAGTTAATAAGAAACCTCGGCTGCGACAGGTTTTCATCTGGTGGCAGTCAAGCAACACCTGTTAGCCACCTCATCCGAGTCAACAACATTATGTATGCTTCATATGTAGTTCAGCAATGTCCCTATGCACAATCAGCCGCCGAGGTTTCTCCTTGAAGTAAATATATATGAAAATACATAATATCAAGTACCATAATTGGTATCCTTATCAGTTAGCGTTGGAGAAGTAATTCGAAGTTGTATATCATCCACTCTCTGTTTGAACAATCCTTGATCCTTTTGTAATTGTTGTTTCAATGGTAAAAAATTTACTGAAAAGTATAATACATGGATTTTTAATGGACATGGATATAGTTGATTAAGTTTTTAATTTTACCATTTGCTTCCAAAGCTAAAGAACATATTTTGTTCATAACGGCATTAAATATTTCGTGTCCCATTAAAGCCCACTGTTTCACTTCTTCCAATATATCAGGACGGTATTGGCTAACTTTTATAGGGACTATTTTTAGTTTTAAACTAGGTAATCTTATTTCCCACATTTTAATATTCATGTATCTACAACAAAAATTAAAATAATATTTAAAACTATTAAATTAATTCAAATTAATTATCCTTGAACATACTCAAATGATGCTATTGTTTTGTTGTAGACAAAAAATTGAATATAATCTTGATTTAAAAAGTGGTTGCAATTAGGTAATGCACGACAAACACACTGCTGAGAATGAAATTTTAGTTCCAGGTATTTTGCAAAAGAAAATGACCAAGTATCATCTGACAATGGTACTACAGGTGTTATCTAAGTAAAACAATCAGATAATTCACATATTTATTTTATTTTTACTATTAATAATTATTGGCATATCAAATTTTACTTACTAAGGAACATTTCTTACAATAAGACCAAGAATAAATTAAATTCTCATTGTATGGAGGATCAATTAAACGACCACTAATATTAGATAACAAAAGTCTAAAACAACTTTTATCATGTATGAAACGACGTTCATGTCTATTCATTGGGCTGTCACACGAATCAGATGGGCATTCATATGTTTCACGAAAACAATATCTTTCTAAAAATCTACCTAAGCATATTTCATTAACTCCATAGAACTCCATAAATACTAACCTAGAAAAAATGTTTATAATTAAATTTATACAATGTATGAAAGATACAAATAATAAATAATTCTATAAACCTAGGTTCGACACAAAATGAAGGTGCATTATTTGATTCTGGACAAAAACTATAAAACATCACAGGCAATCTTTGATGATTGATAGGATCAAATATGTCAACAAGTTTTTCTTTTTTGGAGTAATTATTTTTTTTAGATTTTACAGATGATTTTTCTGATTGATTGTGTAATATTCTTCCACCTTGAGCTCGAAATAAAGCCAACATAGTTTGAACTTCATCACTATTTATATCTTCAGTTAGTTTAGATATTATAAATGCATGTTTTGGTTTTAGCTGTAATACAAAAAACAGTAAAAAGTGAGATGAATTATAATTATAACACATACAAGTATATATCTAAAATGAGTTAAAGTAATCAGTTAAAACTAAATTTAATTTAATTTTAAACAGTGTCAATCGATTTTTTATTCCAAATTTAATGTAATCTTGATGATAAGAAATATTAATAAACTAGCCTAGAAAAAAAAAGTAGTTATCCGTCAACAATATAATTACTTAATTAATAAAAATATTTGTCTCTGAATCATAAAAATATACATATTAGTAAATAGTTAATGATAAAAGAATTATACAACTACATTTATTTCCAATTCCAACTGTCCATTTTCTTGATTGGAGTCTATTGATGATTTCATATTATTTAGAATTTGTGATACATAAATATGTTTTGAAAAATATTTTCGCAATTTACAACGTTTTCCAATATCTGATTCTAAGTATGGAACTGAAAACTAAATAAAGAAAAATGTAATCATATTGTTTAATACAAATAAAGTAATTCAAAAGACAATAATAGTGTTGTTTTTTTTTATTTACATTAACTATTGGTGATAACGAGAGTAACGTCAAATTTAAAAAGTATTGATATTTATTGTCTTGTTCCGTATTGGTTGATAAAGGTTGTGAATTGTTCACTTCAGATAATTTTGATTGATTATTAATATTTTCATTTACAGCATTATTATTTTCATTTGACAAAATTGATGAATCAGTGAAAGAGTCATCGTGCAGTTGCTTATTTTTCACTGGTGGTGATGCAAATTGATCCATTATATAGGATTTTTCTAATTTCCAATTATATATCATTAATATTAGTTGTCTAAGTATACGCTTTAATATCTTTAACTGTTTATTAGAACTGCCTCTAAGCAAAACTGAACACCCTCGTTCAGGTACTGGGCATCCTTCAAAAAACATTAAGGCTTTGTTACCAAAATTTTCTACATAAAATTGTTGACATGTTCCTAAAACTGGTTTTCCCATATGTGCATCAACCGAAGTTAATATTTCTGCACCAGTGCATCGAGCAATACGTTCCAGAACAGATGTTTTAACATTTAATACTAATGTAACTCCCATTTGATTAAAAAGTTCTTGTGCAATTCTAGATACACTTTTTTGCACTAATACAAGATCAGGTTTCATTGACACAATACGGCTCACAATATTTCTGAAGTAATCATGCTCCTATATAAAATAATTTAAATTACAAGAAGAATACAATTTGTATTAAAACAGATACAGCACTTGACTTCAAAAGAGAAGATACCAGTTATGTGCACTATTTTACACTTTCTACCACTACCACCTATGCATGTAGGTGCTTGCTGCCGGACAAAAATTGGTTGTCGCCTGGTATCTTCACTTCTGGAATGGAGTATAGTTTTACTAAGTTTACCTGCATAATAACAGGTTCTAATGATAACAATTTTCCTTCAACACGTTGGTAAATTATTGAACATTGAAGTAGTAAAATTTTAGGTCCAGATATTCTCGACGCCATAGCTTTATTGGCAATATTTTTTGAACATACGATACCACTAACAATACAGCTATCATTCCGTTCACCTCCTTCTAATTTTTTTATTTGTAAATAACTGAAAAAAAAACATCATGTATATGGATTATGAATATAAGAGTAAAAGATGAAATGTAAATTGTTTTTTTGCAATATTAAAAAATATTTAATGAAGAAGTGACTCTAAGGATGAATTAAGAGGATGTCATACCTGTATGTATCGTCACTAGTCACATTCGTCACATTCATTCACTAGTTTCTATAGTGTGTTGTTAGTTTTGATATTAGAGTAAATTAACCTATAATCAAACCTTTGGATAAAGTCCGTGTTCCCTCATTGGTTTTTTACTATATTTTAATTTTTAAGTGAGTTATGAGGATGTGAGACAACACATGTGGGTGTGATGTCCTCTTAAGAGAATATAAATAATTTGAGCTTTTTATGGTAAGTCAAAAATTAAATTATAAATCTAATCATATTTTAAAATCTTAGTTTTATTTAAGTATCTCTAACAGATAATATTGTAAACTAAAAAAAAATTACTTACTCGCAAATACTCATATTTTCTGTATCTGTAGATAAATCTGGAGAGAGTTCACCAATAACTAAGTCAGAAAGAGCAATCAAGGTGTCAACCCAATTAACGGAGAGGCCATTCTTTTTCAACATTTGTGTGACAAAGTTCAATTTATGATCTTCAAAAATATTTCTAAAATGTTAAACCATGCTAATTAATTGACTAATTAGTAGAAAGTCATTATTTAATAAAAACATTTAAGAATGAATTATGTAGTTACTAATAAGTAATAAATATTTACTAACGTTAAGTAATTAAAAGTATATGCTTCTTTATAATCTTCTACCAATTTTTTAGGGGAACTCCAATTTTTCATAGCACCAAAATTATTACGCTGGTAAGTCATTGCAATAATATCCAACAACTTTATTATTAATGTATCTATAGGTCTTGGTTCTACAACTAAAATCATTATTTTTTTTTTAAATATAAAATTATATTTTAGTAAATTAATAATTTATTTTACCAGAATTTTGTTTTAGTTTTTGTGAACTAGGTTTTGAAATTTGAACAGTGTTATTATGAAGATCTAAATCTAATTTGAAACTTCCATTAGAAACATTTGAACCTTGCTTTTCTATTAAAAATATATTTATAGAAACAAAATGAATAAAAGGCAATTTAGTTAAAAATTTGCTTATATGTATGAGTAATAAATATTAAAATTATAAGTACCATAAATTTTAGATTTTGTATTTTTACTTTTCTGATTCTTATGCGACTGATTCGGTACCACTGAACAAAATCTATACAAACAATTCCCATCTAAAAAGTCTCCTTCATTCTCCATAACATCTTCTATGTATCCAGCATCCAAAAGCACTTGCCCTATTGCTGTACCATGCATTCTAAATTTGTACAAATTGCATATTAAAACTATTACTCACTAATTAATATTCACTAGGTATTTAAAATTGTATCTAATACTGTAGGTTATGATAGTAATCATAGCAGACACAGAATACTGAAACGCTATAATTTTAAAGAATACATTTTACCTGCTAGTAACTTTCCCATGGTTTAATAGCCACTCAATTAAATTGTTTCCGAGAAAACAAGAATGGTAACTTCTTAAATGGTATCGGTGTGTTTTTAAACTTAATCCACCATTAATTTGTGTCAATTCTTCAAACAAGTTATTTAGATTATGAGATACATTTGGATCCTCAGGAGTTTCTATAGGAGATAAATTACCTAACATGTTTGATCTAATGAATAAAAAAAATAGATTAAAATTAAAAATTTTAAGTTGGATAGGTGTGATAAAAATTTACCGGGATAATGCAAAATTTTCTTCTTGATAGCCAACAGAAATCTTTCTACTGGGAGAATTTGTTGTTTCAACTATGTTTTCAAAGTACTTTGTGTTTGTGGGTACATTACAGTTTGTTAAAACTTCATTATTGGCCAATTTCACTTGTAATTCATTTCTAAGTGATATTAAGTCTGGGGATAAAACTACATCTTTAGCAACAGACTGTAAGTAAGATAATACTATTTTGCAACAGTATGTACAAACTCTGAGGTCCCCTAGGAAAAAACATTTTTAGTTAATTATAATAATTTAAAAAATCAATAAAAAAAATAATTATATTATTTATTTATTAGTTATTACAGATAAAATTAGTATTAAATAAACATGCATAAATCTCACCAGAACACCCCATAATTTTTCCAGGTATTTCTTGGTAACAACATTTTGAACAAAATATTTGACCACATACTCTACAATGGTGACGCCTCCGAAAAGTTGTAAATTTTTCACAACAGTCATAACACTCTTTACTCACAGAGTCAGGCATCCAATACTGTTTTAGGTCAGTATTTCTATAGGATGGATAGTCCTATAATAATAATATAAATCACTTAAGATACATGTGCTTTAATAATTTACTTACTCCTGATCGAATCGGTAATAAATTTCCAACTCTTTTAAGAATATTTGGTAAATTTCTTGCATCTATGGCCACAAGAGCTTGTGAAGTATCCTTTTCTGTCTGATTCTGATTATGGAAATAAATATATGAATTAGAGCTCTGAATTTGTAGAAAAATGCATTATTTTTAGCTTCATGAACATAAGATTTGAATTAGGCAGTAACAAATGCAATTTTTTTTTAATTAGTTTTTATTTTTACGTGTTCTTTACACATGATGCATTGTTAATTCCATTGTTGCTTTTAAATTATAATTCTAAGTAGTGCAAGTTTTTCTAATGCATTCATCAATTAATAGCCATAATAATATTATATATTTATATTTTAATAGGTTAAGACAATTATACCTTAAGCAACAATTCTCAATTGAATTGAATAGGCATACTTATAACTAATGAATGTACATAAAATACCTTAGCGATTTACAAAATATTTATATCCATCAATAAAGATGTTATTTACAATATATATTACTAACATTTTTTTTTTGTTCAATTTAAAATGTTTTATTACTTTATTTTACCTAGTATTTTTATATATTAAATGTAAATATTAAATAACAAAATTCATATTTGAATAGATTCAATATTTTGGGTAGGTAATTAAATCAATTAGATATTGATATCTACTTCAATAATTTTTTTGTTGTTTTTAGGATTATACTTACATTACTAACAACCATTTCAGCATTTGTATCATTGGCATCTGTTGGACTTGTCTTAAAGTTAAATACTTTAGCAAAGAATGAACCAACAGATGATTGTTCTTGTTCGGGACTTAACGGAGCGAACTCCGTCAACGCTGTGGTCGTATGGAGATTAGTCATGATTAAGATAAAACCTCAGTTTTTCAGCGATATTTTAATTTTTCAATACAAGTCATCATGCATATTATTTATTACAATATACCTAAATAAAAGTTAAAATAAATTATAATAATTGACTAAACATTACTATCTTTGATAATAGTTTTTACTTTTTAAACAATTTAAATTGTATTATTTAACCAACGTGATAAGACATTTGATAATAGATATATTACATACATTCTATATAATAGCTATATAATAAGTAATAAACTAATAACCAATTAATGTCGTATTTAGTATTACTATTAACAGGTGCTAGGTGGACGCCAAGATTAAATTCAATAGTAAATAGTAAATAGTATACCCTGCCACAAGGTCGTGCTCTTTGGTGGGGGGTGGGAAGGTGTAGTATCCCCCCTTGGCGTATTTTTGTCACATTAAATAGGCATATTATGATAAAGCAATTAATGTAAGTTTATATATAGACTTTTTTTACAGATATCTACTACAGAGAAAATTGTGTGTATATTTAACGTGGTCCAACTGTCGGAATAGTAAAAAATTACTACCCCTTCCCCCTCACCCCTTCAAAAAAGCTAAATATGCCACTGACCTGCCTAATTCATAAATCGTGGTCAGTGCCCAGTGGTGAGTTTGGACAAAGTCAGTACCTGTCGTTATAATATGTTATCAAAATATAGCATGTGTGTGAAATACCTATCCGTTAACAGGTGGCAACATTTTCGCTACCGCGTGAATAGAACTTGTTAATTGCTTAATGTTTTTTAACTACCGACTACCGTCCTACCACAGAAGTTAGTAAGCTGTAGGTACCTAGGCACCTAGCCACTTAATAGTATAAAATATGTTAAGAGTTATTGATAATAGTACACCATGAACATATAATATAATATATGTATGTGCGACTAAAGCTAATAAATTACATTAAAAAAAAATATATAAGTATAATATAATTATTATACTTTTATATTATATTATATTATGTCTCTGACGTATATATATTTTTATTATCTATATATCTATAAATCTTCATGTAGTACTGTACAATTGCACAGACGCACAGTGGGCCCCTAATTGATTTTGTGGCAGTAGATAGTGGTGCCGTAATGGAACACGGAACTGATTGAAATCTAAATAATACCGGCCAATGCCGTTAGCGGCGTTGGGTTAGATTAAACCTCACTAAACCCAACTTAACCTAACCAAACCCGGCTCAGTCGGCTCGTCAGTTGTCACTGTGCTGAGAAACGACGCCGAGGGTACTGGGAACGCACGTGACGAGCCGCGAGGCACACCACATGCTGTACCAAGTTTAAGTATCTATCACTATTCGGCATTCACCATTCCAACGGCACGTCCACGGTTCCTACTTTGTATTCTAAATAAGTTTTAAATATACCGACCGTAACGTTTCCTATGTTATTCCACTTTTCTTAGGTTGATCTATGCCCCAACCGCCCAAAATGTCCGATACCTAGGTCTACATCTAGACCGCAGGTTGACTTGGGCAACTCACACCCACAACAAAAGACTTGCATTGAATAATCGCTCTCGCCAATTACGTTACCTATCGTCTCACATCACAACACATCAACTTAAAAAACAAGCTACTATTATACAAACTCCTACTCAAACCGATTTGGACATACGGTATCCAATTCTGGGGTAGGTACAGCCAAAAAGTCCAATTTAAGCAAAATCCAAGTCTTCCAATCAAAATGTCTCCGCTAAATAACCAAAGCCCCTTACTATGTATCCAACGACACTCTACATAGAGATCTAGCCATTCCAACAGTTCAAAACGTCGCAAAAACTTTCTACAAACGCACACACTCCAAGCTCCACAGCCATCGCAATCCCCTGATTTCCGAGCTAACCACCAACGCTATTCCCGGAGACCCCAGAAGGCGTCTTAAACGTACCTGGTGTCATGAACTACTTACATAAAATTGTATGTACCTTTACCTCCCCTTAATTTTGTATTCAGTCTCATTCCCCCTTGCTAGCACATTAAAATATACTCCTAACTTTAAGTGCCTCCAATGGGCGGCTTCTTATATCCTGCCACTCAAGCCATGTCACCTCCATCACATACGCTTATTCAACAATAATATTTACAGATTGTGTATTTTAAAATAAATGATAAAAAAAAAAGGTCGACCTATGTGACCCACTTATAATATTTTTCGATTATTTTGTGATTAATAACAAAATCACCTACATCTTATGGAAAAATGGTACATTAATAGGAGAGTCAAAGTAAACCAAGATAAATCCTTTCACACAACATTCACTCTTGAAAAGGCTCCATGTCCAAACTTTAATCTTTGCGAAATCCAAATTCCCCCTTCCCAAACAGGAAAATATCTAGGACTTCTTTTAGACCGTCGACTTACATGGGCTCCACACATAAAATCAAAAAGGTTACAATTTAACAATCGATTACGCACACTAAGCTCATTGCTACACAGAAACACATAACACTAACCTAAATATAAAGCTCTTCTAGAACCCATCTGGACCTACGGGTTTCAGCTCTGGGGTAGTGCAAAAAAATCAAATATTCAAAAAATTCAAGCTTTTCAAAACATTGCCCTAAGAAAAATCACAATGTCCCTACTTTTGTATCCAATCTTACACTCCATAACGATCTAAGAATAACAACAGTACTTGACGAAACAAAATGCTACTACAAAAAATTTCACACCAAACTACTTCTTCATCCTAATCCTCTTATTAAAAAACTATCTACCTTGTCCATTCTAGGTAATCCACCAGACGGCTTAAGCGAAGATGGTGTCGGGACCTTCTGTCTCAAAATTAAAATTAGCCTAACTTAAAACTTAAGTACACAAAATAGGTAGTGTCACCAATGGGTGGCTTCTTCCCTCAAAAAATTCATATGTAAATATCCCTATGCACATTTGCTTATTGTTCTGGTTAAGAACAGATCGTACCTAAATTTCTTGTAAAAAAAAAATTTTGTGATTAATTAAAATAAATGTGCACCAATTGAATGGAAATCTTATTTCTGCGACAAAGTTAACAAAAAAAAAAGCTTAGCTGTAAGTCAGTGGTTTTTAAACTTTTATTATACACGGCACACCATACATTTCAAAAATTTTTCAAGGCACACTGACTTTTTTTTTAGATGAAAAATTCAATGCAATCGGTAATTTATGGAAAAATCGCAGCACACCACTTAGTGGATACTCGCGGCACCCAGTTTGAAAACCACTGCTGTAAGTTATAAGCATAACATAAGAAACAGTTGTGACTGTATTTTGGATTGCATTATAAGAATTTTTATAGATACTCTTGTATTTATTATTGCAGACTTTTTTTCTTGTGTGGCACATTTTCCGTCGGTATTTTTTTCCGCGATTCAAGTACAGTAAAATGTTACCTACTTATTGTCTTTTTGATCAACTATCAAACTTAGAATTCAGTTATTGCTTAAAACATTGTCTGAAATCTAACAATGGATATTTTATATGTTTAAACTCAACTTCATATAAAATTTTACATTCTTTTGCTCAATTATTTTGGACAGATTTTAGCCGTCTTAGAATCTACATTTGGTTCAACTGCTGGACTCACCTTTTAGCCAACTTCACAATCAAATACAAGTCTTGTTCATAATATCCTAATAAAAACCTCGGTTCAATAACTTAGTCCAATTATACCCTAATTATGGCAGTAAATACAAAATATGTATTATAATGAAAAGAAAAAAAATCTTTAAAAACACTAACAGCGAAAAAAAAGATTAAAGTTCAATGTTGAAATCTTTGGGATTTACTACATAATAATTATGTTATAAATAGCACAAAAATCAAACAAACACAGCAAATAGTTTCATCTCTACCATTTAGAATCAAAACAACATTTTGTTTTATTATCTAATGATTGCAACCAAACTTAGATTATTCTTTTATTGTATTACATAATTTTATTTTTAAATTCATCCTTAAAAAATATTAATTCATGATACATAAATTAAAACACTTTTATTTTCTTTAAATACAAGGTTTGAAAAAATTGTTTATAGTATTAAATGTATTACAAAAAAGAACTTAATTAAAATGTAAGTTTTTTTTACATGTCTTGAGTTTCAATTACTTGGTTAATAGTTAGCCATTCGACGTCTTGATTTTTTAATCCTAAACATAGCATATTGATAAAATAAAACAAGTTATATAATGATGTGTTAATTATTAAACAATACCTTTTTGGTCCTTTCACAAAGCACCAATCTACACTTATTTGCTGTCCCAAAATGTCTGTATTATTAAGACCTTCACGTGCTCTAGATGCTTCCTTATATGATTCATATTCAACTAATGCATAACCCTTGGAAAAAAATTAAAACATAAATAATATTATAACAAACTAAATACCTAACAATAATTACTTTCAGAAATCCAGTTCTACGGTCCAAATTTAAATGTAAATTTTTGATTTTTCCAAACTCAGCAAATTTATCATGTAAATCATCCTCTTGTGCTTCTTCGTGTAAAGAAGAAATGAACAAAATCCAACCTTCAACCGCTGTAAAAAAAAAAAATGATGTGATGAATAATAAATAAAAATTAAAAAATATATAATTACATCTTTGTGGTCCAGGACCCTCATCATCATTTTGATCGACAGAATCAAATTCCATAGCTTCATCTTTAATATCATCTCTTTTAGATTTGTCATCAAATCCACGTCCTTTCCTTCTTCTGGCTTTATCTTTGAGCTTAGAGACTCCCTCTAAAATGAACAATGTTAATTAAATATTTATTTTTTCATTTTTGAGTGCTTTGATTCAATGAATGCACATATTTCATTTTATTGTGATTCTGTAATGTGTTTTTTAAAATTTCATTTTAAAAATATGGATAGCAAATTTTTAATGGGTCAAAAAGCTAATATTTCAGTTAATAATATATTATAATATAATATCTTCAGTTTTTAATACAGCAATTTGAAATTTTTCAAATATATAGAAGTAAATTTTTTTATACAAACATTTAAAATTCAAATTTGGACATAATTAGATATTTAAATAAATAATAACAATTTTATTTATTTTGTTTAATTGAGAAATATTATAAGTGGGTACTTGAAACTTTTAATATGTAAATATATTTTCTATTGTATACACAAAATTATATTTTTAGCAAAAATGTATTCAACCTACTATATTACTAATGTAGTAATGTCGAATAGTAAAATAAATTACTTTAATAGCAATAATATCATAAAATGTACTTAGTAATATAGACTGATAGACCTCTTCGCCCAGAATTGTATTTTTAC